ATATTTATATTTATATACATGTATATATGTATATATATAACTCGTATAGCCTGAACATGCAAGGAAAGGGCGGCAAGTTGCCATTATTCAGCCTCCTGATGTATTCTACCTGCTCAGCTTAGTAGGGGACATCCCTGAGATGGATCAACGGACGCAGTGCCATAGAGGCTCTGTCTGGTAAAATGCAAGGAGGAAGGTAGGCATTCTGGGTATTGTTCGCGTCGCTGGCGGTGTTGAGATTCTGTGTGGGAGCAGCGGTTCTGATGCGATACTGGGACCCCATGCTGGTCCAGTCCATGTGAAACATGCGCTTCAAAGAAGGATTCGTACTGCTTCTCGTGATTTACTTGAGCTACTGTGTATGGGCTGAATCTTGCAGGTTTTGAATACCTCCTCTCAAGGCATTGTAGGTTGGACACGTGTGGACAGACGCTGGTTTGTTTCAGCCTTCCTTTGTTGTAGTGCCACTCCTCGATTCCCTAATCCCCAACCCCTACACCAGCAACTCACGTGCAATACTTTAAACGGACTGCCAGAATCCCAAGCGCTTGATCTATGTGATGGTCTAGGGTTCTGGCAACTAAGCTTTGCTGAGACAAGTGCTACCTCAACTCACTACAACCACATAGCCTGGGCCAGTCATCCGCTCCTGCACGGCCACTGGTGGCCGCCATCCCAGACGAGCCAAAGGCAGCTTCGGGCTTCAGGGTTTCACACGTCTATTGAGTCTATTGGCCGGCGAGTAGCGTAGCATCTTTGCACGGTTGCCAGACACCGCGGTGTCACTGTTGACCGAAGAGATGATATCACGGAAGACTCGGGGTTCTGGGGCATGTTTTGCATAGGCCTCTCCAAGCCAGTAAGCAAAGTGAACGAAGTATTGGAATATCATGGTCTGTCGACGAGATGCTTGTTGGCCGGGAAATGCGCAATGAGTCAAAGCCAGCGCAGTCATCAGTGCTGAGGTTCCCGCACAACGCTACACATTCTGGCGTTGCTAAGATTTGTACAGCCCTGTTTCGGAATTGTGCCTCTTGAATCTCCTCCTAGAAGCCCAACACGTCTAACCTAAGCCCTTTTGAGATCAGGGCCCGTCTCCTCTGGCAACTGGAATCCTGCTATTGTCCATCCTGCTGATCTTCTTGGCAGCTGCACCCAGAGTTGCCGAGCTTCGGGGTCATCCGGGTGTACTTGCAGGAGTCGAAGGTCCGTATGAGATGTTCCCCTTTGTTTCATCAGAGCTGCTTCAAGGCATGATATAAGAAGCATCATATTACTTGTTGTGGTCACTTTGAAGTAGATGCAGAAATGGGCCGTGCGGCAGGGTGTCTGCGGATCGCAACATGTCCGGGCATATCACGTGTGATTCAGAGATAGGAGGGTCACAAGACTGGGTGTCTTGACTGGTGAGTTTGCGGCAGATGGTTCTCCTACAGAGAGACAGTGAGTCTGAGTGTAGGGTCATATGCATATGCGGATGGTACAGCAGCTGTCAATCATGTGAGGGGGGGGCATCTGGGTGTCTGCGGAGATGTATAACACGCCTCAGCATCCTGAGCCCTTCATATGTTTCTTTGTGCTAGGAGATTTCGTATTTCGGGGATATGATGACGAGAGAGCCCTACTGTGGGATAGGCGTACCCCAAGTTTTGCATTTTGCATGTGCAGCGCTTCCAGTATAGCCTTTGCGATGTAAGGGGGTTGGAAAGTTGTGTCTTGGACTTGAAAGTGCTCTCTCAGCAGTGAAAGAGGAGACTGAGCACTTTGTTTCCGGAGTTTCCGGTGTGAGGGTTACAAGCGTTAATCAAAAAGTCAAAAAGGATGCAGTTTTGAGATCAACCCCGGCATGCATGCCAGGAAGAGAATTGAGGTTTTGGGCGCTGCCTTAGAATCCAGGATTCTTACGGCATGTTCTCACGGAAAATGCCGGAGACACTTGAAAACCACAGTCACCTCTAGCAACAGGGCCATTTCTGTCAACCTCATAAGCTGCATGGCCAGCAGCGTTCTAAGATCAACAGCTCGTGTTTTTTTCCTTTCTGCCACATTTGACACAGGCACTTGGCATTGTGCTGCTCAACCAGAGGACGTCTGGCCTTGTCAATTGCAAGACTTGCTTGGGCGCTTGGGGCTAGCCAAGCAGATTGTGTGTGGCCATGTGCAAGTAACGCATAGTATGTACTGGGTTTCATAAAAAATCGCAGAAGAAGGGCGCATATCAACAAAAGAAGCAGATCTCAACGTCAAGTCTGGGCCATGAATCGGAGTTTAGACGTTTGGAGGAAGCAGATGCCATTTTGGACGGGAGCGCTTGGCAGGCAAGACCAGCACATGAGCACCGAGTCATGGGGTGGGAGTTCTTCGAAAACGAGACCCTTTGCGGATAATGACTTGGGGTATGAAAGGGATCATGCAGCATGTACCCTTGTAAGACATGTACAAATGCCTGCTGTGAGCATTTAACAGGCCCGCACTCATGATTTCGCAGCTTCATAAGGCTTGATCTGAAGCCTTTTCAATCTTCTAGAAGTGTTGGGAACGTTATAGTAACATAACCCTTCGTAAGAAGCTTTGTTGACATGTACCTCCTTGCATTTGCATTTGTCATTAAAAAAGGCATCTTATCCAACGACTATATCACGTATTCTATTGTAGGACCCCGAGCAAGGGACCCCCTCGATTTTTGGAAACCTCCGTATGCACTCTGCCAGATACCTGCAGCGCCAGCGACTGGATTTCCTCCCAACGACGGAAGCGGACGCGGGAGCCCAGGAGCGCTTTCCGCAGGCTTAAGGGATTGAGAGCTCAAGGATTGAGGATTAGGGGCTGTATAGGGATTATGGATTAGATCCAGAGGTCCCGAAACCCTGAAGGCCTTGCAAGGCTTAGACCCTTCAGGTCTTATATTGCGAGCTCCACGCACTGTAGCTCCTCAAGCACCCCAAACACTCCGAGATCACCAAAACCATGGTCTCCACATGCTCCAAACATCGTGATAGCCTTTATAGAGAGACCATCTAGCGCACTTTTCCACCAGCAGGCGCGCCCTGATGAACGGCAAGGTGTCATCACTATGCGATGTCTCACACCTCCCCAGAATACGGCTCTCAATTCTTGATGCGGGTGACGGAAAGATTTAGTTGGCGTAACGCAATGGGCATTGGACGGATTGTCCGTGGTGGTGGACTGTGGTGTCCGTGGTGGTGGTGGTGGTGGTGGNNNGGTGAGGCGGGTGAGGCGGGTGAGGCGGGTGAGGCGGCGGCAGCAGCAGAGGCAGCGGCGGCGGTGGTGGCCGAGGGGGCGACGGCGGCGGCGTTGGTAGTGGAGGGCGGCCGCGGCGGCGGCGCCGGTTGTGGTTATATGACATCATGAACCAGTTCAGAGTTTCAACATACAAATGTGTTGCACTTGTCATGCAACTAGTCTCTAAGCAACGTCAAACGCACGCCGCAATCCTTTCACAAAACTCCAGAAAAGGAGTGAAGAACATGAGTCCTGTGAGGTGGTAATGGCAAGTGCGTTATTGAACAAGGTCATGTTGAGCTGGGACATGGTGTTTAGCCAGCATGTGGGTTTGTTGGCATTTGATTTCGTTTTTTTGATTGTCCTTTTGACCATGCCTTTGGATCTTGGAAAACAGATACTACAGTAGTATCATGGAAGGCTAACAGAAGCAGTTGAAAAACAAACAGGAAGCAGACGTCATCCTGTATCGCGCCCAAGCGGATGAGGTGGGACCTCAAAATCGGGGATGACGCTTGTGTATCAAAGTCTTAGGGATCACGCAGGTCGTGTCTTTAATGCGGGTTTCGTTTAGATATGTATGGGGGGGGGGTAATACAAATATCGGTATACAGATATCCTATATAGGATGAGATATAGGGCCCTTGTTCGGTTATACGGGGAAAAGGTAAAGCGAACACCAGCTTTCAGATAGGGATTCTTGCAAGATTGCAACCAGCAGTGTCAGGTGCGGATGTGGCAGTCTTTCCCACAACTAGACCTCCAAAATGCCATTTCAAAAGAGGACCACTAGTTGAGCGTGGTTTTTGTGAGTGTAGCACTTGCTGCTGCTGGTACTGCTGTTTGTGACGCCATGCTTGCTGGAATTGCCTGTAATGCGCTGAACAAGGGCCAGCTTTTTACATTCAAACAGGGCGCGCCCCCGCAGTTCTGGAGTGATGGGCCAACCAGCCACCCGCCGCCACAAAACGAGCATTCCTTAAGACCAGGGCTGTCATGTGCATACCCTTCAGAGAAGTCACATTGCTGAAAGAACTCCACCAAGGACTCCTAGAATGGAGGCTGCCCTCACATGACGGTGTGCTTTCTCTCAAGGCTTGCGGCGCAAATGTCGCCGTGCCTCCCTGCTGCATGGTTCATCGTAATGTCTCATTAGATTGTTCTCGAAAAGCTAGGTACTGCATCTATGATGGACCGCACGCATAGCCAGTCTCCGGGGCCGTTTGAGTCCAGCTACAGGCAATGATCGCACTGCCATTTGGGTTGAGAGCTACAACTTAACTTGCAGCTGGTCTTGTATTCAGGCATCAGACATAAGCATGCTGAGCGGCGTGATTTCATGCACCCGCGAATATCATAACACCCATGGCTCTTCTTCACAATTAGATTCCACAGCCTCAGGCATACATAGTATATGCAAAGTGCCCCGACACGATGTAGCGAGGATCCCAGCGCGGGGATCCTTCGCAGATTCTCACATGGCTTGCATGGCCCACGTGGCGCCAGTCTTGCTGGCCATGAGTCTTTTGCATTGTGTTTCGTCCTCTTGGCGTCTGCACCGCTGTTCAACAGTTTTTTGTTATAGTTTTGCCTGGCTACGTTTTTGAAGCCCAATAAGGGGTCATACCGTGATTTTCCCGATGAGTCTAGCATCCCAAGAATGCGAGAGGTATGTCGGCACGACTGATGGGTATCAAAGCTGTGATGATGTTTGCCTCGGCCGAGGGGTTTGCAGCGAAACTGCGCTGAATTCCCTCATGAGCAGCTGCAGTGCTTCTGACATCCACTCTTTTCTCAGGACTGGGGTAGATTTAAGAATGAGCGTCCGCTATCCCTTACCCTGCCAAATCCTGCCAACTAGTACTAGTTAGAGATGTGATTTGAGTGGAGCCTTTCAATTTTGCTTTTGAGGAGCATCGCAAGCACTCGCTCGGTACAGAGCACGGCAGGAACGGATTATACAACCAGCTATGACTGTTCGAGTGGCCTGAGCTTGCAAGCAGGCAACCTTCAAATTCAAATGGTGAGCCCAATGGCGGTTAGTAATGGGCAGTGCTACTATGATGCAAGTGGTGGGTCAACTTGCTCTACAGCCGCCCCCAGCACCGGTTGGGCAAGATTTTGCTGCTGTGTTGAAGCTGTTGGTGACTGCAATGTCGACCAGCTTAATTGCCCGACGGAACTGTCTTTGGCAACCGCTACGTCTGCCACCTCGACTTCGGTGAGCACAGTCACAACATCTTCGTTGACAATTACGTTTTCTTCATCCAGCAAATCCACAACCACAACAATCACTCACTCATCCACGGTTTCCTCAACAACGCGCACAGCAACGCACACCACAAGTACCAGCGTAACGTCCACCACAAGCACGTCAACGTTTAGCGCAACTACAAGCATGACCTCCACTAGTACAACGTCTGCTTCTTCAACAAGATCATCATCCAGCTCCTCCACGTCAGGTACATCAACTACGTCCACGATGTCCAGCACTTCCTCGACGAGCACTGCTTCTTCATCTTCATCGCGCACCACTAGCACAACGTCTTCGAGCTGGTCAACGACGAGCACATTCTCCAGAACTACAGTCGCATCGCTGATCACTGAAACGAGCAGTCTCACTTCCACCCATACTGTCACACCTACGTCAACTGCATCTTTCTCTACGACCGGCACTACCACAACCCTGGTTTCAACAACAACTAGCACGACCTTGACCTTGACACTTCAAAGATGGCTTTTTGACCTTCAGTCTTTCTTCAGGCCTGCCGCAGCGCCGATCCAAACTAACGTTCTTCACAATCTGCACGTTCCATGTTGCCCTGCGCTTATAGCATGCACCAAGAACACACCAAATGCATGCTCGTGTAGTGCACAGCTTGACATGTTCGTGCCCTGCAGGCCCAAACCCCTTCAAGCCGTGGTTACCACAACCTCGACGTCCTCATCAACGATGACAACTGCTACGTTCACGTCAAGTTCCTTTGAAGTGCCAACGCTGGCAAGCTCGACCACGACGTCGACCAAGTCGACGACGACCTCCACACCCCCTGGAGATGAGCAGTCTGTGGCAGTTGCCTGCAGTGAAGTGAGTCTGGTTGCATGTATCTGTCTATTTGTTGGTGTTGCTGCATGAGGCTATCCTCGCAGTTGCTTTCAAATATTACTGGCGCAAAACCTCCAGTCCTTACAGTAGGGTAGGCCTCCGGCCTTTACGTTGAAAACTATGACAAACTGGGAGGAAGCCACCGGCCACCACCCGAAGAGGCCGATGAGATGTAGGCCAAATTCCCCATGGCCGTCGTGCCCAGGACTCCCATAGCCGCAGCAAAAGGGTTATTGAGTCACCATTTGCAAAGGAACAGAATATCTGGGAACACAAACACAACAAAAGAAAAGGACATCCTGAAATCATGCCACTTCTCCAAGAGGCTCGAGGGTAAGTGGATCCGCTTGTCGGAGGGATGATCTGCGAGATTGCATCACATGCCATGAAGAGAAGGCTCCTTCTCAACACACACGATCCTATTTTGGGAGGAAGCCTGTGGGGTGTTGTCACCGTCACCACTAGCAAGGTACACTAGTTTATGGGATACTGAAAGTTTTCAAGCCCTGGAATTCGTCGAATTACTAGGCACGCGCAATGCCCATGCTCGGCAAGTACGACGTACTGCCTAGCATACTTGCTTACTTAGGCAGTCTTGCTGTAGGCTGAATGCGTTTGTGACCATGCAGATTTTTTGTATATGTCATGGCTTTCATGCCATACCTCTCCAAAGCAAGCTTGTTGTCCAGCATTTGAGACCTCCTTGGCAATGCCCTCACTGTAGGCTGCTCGGGGTAGTGGTCGGTTACCGGCCCCAAAGTCGGATAAGCTACCTCAGAACCCACACTCATGAAGCGAAAGCTAGATTTTGGACAATCAATGTTTCCGCATGTCACCGCATGTCTCTTGTTGAGTCTTAGTTGAATTCGTTCGTGCCAGAATCCCTTGAAATTGTAAACGGCATCTGCATTTTGCCTAAGTTGACGGCTGGGAGACTTGCTTGGTCGTCTGCCCGAGGACTGTACAGGATACGGAGTCTGTCTCTCGCAGAGAACCGAACAAGCCCAGATCAAAGAACAAAAATCGAGACTAGGGTATATTGCATGTCATAATATCAACACTGTAAAATCCTCGCAGTGCTAGGTCAAAAAAAGCGTTCTCTGGGTTTGAAAGACCCATAAACTTTTGACGATCATGTTCTTTGTCGTTGCAGTGACCATGATCTTCTCAAAGGAAGGGCACAACGTCCTTCTACAACTGGATGGAACAATTTCTGCAAGTACAGGCCACCTTTTGTGCTTCCGACGGCGGTCCTCAGGATCCTAACATTCTGAGGCTTACGTGCAGACTGTTAACTTGATACTCATTGTGGAGTGGAACTACAGCCCTTGCATGCAGAAGTTTATGTCATCTTTACATTGGCCCGAGGACAGAATACGGTGCCAAGCAAAATATAGAACTCCATGACTCCATGGGTTCCGAATTTTCTTGAACTCTAGTTATTACAGCCTGATGCTGCTTCCGATCCACCCAGTTATTGCCAAGAATTCGTCCCTTCGGACCGGCAGCCTGCACAGACGTCCGGTCCAGAACGCCGGCAACGCATTTTTCCGTACTTTGCTTGGAGGGCTTTCGAGGTCAAGGGTTTTATAAGGGTCCAGGTTAGGGGTTGAAGGTGTCGGGGACGGGTGTAACGTGATTGGATGAAGGGTGTCTGCGTCATGCAGGAATTATGCGGGGAGCATGCAGGTATCGTATGCTGGCTCATCATTCCAGGATAGACTCTGAGGAGAGTGCATGGGTTTTCCTCAAGCTTGGGTATCCGAAAGAAGTATTCAACCTGAAGCATAGCAGAACCCCAAATGGATTAAATTGGAAACCTCACACTCGTGTTATGCGCAGGAGACTTGACGTGCTCAATGAGCGTGTCTTGTGTCAAAACCACAACTTGGCTGCTACAAGAGCAGTAGTTGCGACCAATTTGCCCAGGAATTTTGGGCAGTAGGCTCAGGGAGCCCGGGTCAGCTTTGACCAGCTGCATCACAAAAGTGCTGTATGCAAGCTTACCCACCCCATGCTCCCAAATAGGGATGTGTCAAGCCCCTTTCCCTTTGAGAATGCAACGATTTGCTAGATCGGAGATCATATGCTCCATATTACCTTAGTGCTCGGAACTCGGCTTTCCTACAACTGTAGGGCCCCATGCATTGACTTCACATGAAAGTTTTTCTGCAAGTCGCTACGTGACCTCTTTGCTTTGTTTTTCTTCCCCGAAGGGTAGCCTGAAACTCCTAATGTATCTTCAGGATTCCCAAGAATGCGCTCATTCAAAAATCACAAGCAGCTGCGCCAAGCTTGTTGGCAAGTTGTGCTTTTCAGGGTGCAGTAGTGACAACACTACAGGGCAAAAGTCCTTCCATAAAGCCGGGCTAGGACAAGACGTAAGAAGGAGTCTCATTGTACTTGTAACTTATATCTTGCCATCATTGGCCATTCAGAGCTCTAGGACCACGTCATAAGTCTTATTACAATGTAGGTTCGGTCCCAGCTCATTTTTATGAGAAGATTTGATGGCATTCCAATCCTTCTCCCTACAAACTTTGTAGTTGCATTTGAGTTTGGGTGTCACAGAGCAAAACGACACTTTGTGGGTTTCAAGCTGCTTGTGCTAACATGTCAGGCTTACCCGCATCTCTTCCCGTAAGGCCATGGAGATGTCAACTGTATCTAACTTGTTGTTAGCAGGGAAAAAGGGAATATCATCCCCATACAATCCCTATACAATATGCGTTATTCCCTGCTAATCCCCAGTTAGGTATTTGCAGTAGAGGTGGCGTTTTGTTGTTCCTTAGCTCCTGTTTATCGAGTATGTGGAGGCTCCTCTTTGAGGCTTTCTGACAGTCAATATAGCTGTAGCTTGTCAGACACTGGCTTGATAGCACCATAGCTGAAATCTGACGACCAGTATGATTGTTACCAGGATGACGATAGATACGATAGATAGCATTTTGTCCTTAGAACTCCTGGACCTTTTGTTGCCACTACAAGCTTCCAGGACAAGCTGAGAAAAGGTTCCCTATAGATTTTTTGATCCCTAAGGTCGAAGTGCTAAACTCCACTTCCTGAACAAATCAAGCTCCAAGCCTCAAACCTCAAAAAAGTTGTATTGTGACTCTGCCTAGACTGATCATTGAGGAGGCTGCGGACTCGTCGGCGGCGCCGCCAGCCATGTAAAAACGTGGCCGCTGAGTTCACGATCTTGCTGAAGCTTGAGGGGGTGAGGTTTGACGGTTCTGTGTGTAAGTTTGGGGGCTTTGGGTTCAATGATTGCTGTTGAAGGTCGGGGTCGACCTCGCAAGAGAGTCAAGAGCATGTTTCTGAATCAAGGCCTCGGGAAGGCAGCATCACTCATGATGACATCTGAGTGCGGGTCTTGTTCTATAGGAATATCACAGGCAGGAGACCTCAATTCCTGATTATCCGTGGTACAGCCAATTGATGTAGTGGCTTCCAGCCCTCCAAGCTCCTCGACATTCTCAGCAACTAGCACAACATATTTTCACGCCACTATCTTGCAGATTTCGTCAGCTGTCCATGCCATGTAGCCTGTTTGGAATTACTGAAGCTGAAACTTCTTCTTCTGACAGTACACCATTCACCCTCTAAAGGAAGATGCCACGCAAGCCCAACAACTTTCTGAGGGGGAGGGGGCAGATCGTAGTCCAGTCCAAAGCCAAACAGAATGAAGTGGATCGAGCTTTCTCTCAAAATGGCGCTTCCACGCAGCACATGCGCACTTGCGTAGAAGCATCACGCAATATCACGCACGATTCAACGATATCAACCTGACAAGAAACCAATTCACCAGTAGGGCGGGACATCAGATATAACAGCAGAGTCGGGGACCCACAGCAAGGGGGGGTTTGCATCATTGCAAGGTATTTTTCCAATGATTTCACGGGTCAGGATTATGAACCCGCTGTTGTGAAGATCTTGCGTCGGCAGCCTTGCCTGAACCCATCTCTTTTGCTTTCCGCCGACATCAAAGTCGGGCAGCCCAATAGAAGGTGATCACGAACTCCGAAAGGTGCAGTCTCAGGAAGTCTCAGGCTCAGGCTCGATTCCTGAGAATCGCTTGCGCCAGTTCTCTACTATAGAAGGTTGGAAGATATGAATGATGTCAGCGCACGCTCCTTCCACGATGTTCATTTACTGTGGCCGGCTCCGCAGCTTGCTGATCAAGCATTAGTCTCAACTACAATGTTATCTGTGAGTGGAAGAATGCGGAACAGTATCCGCTTAGTAGCCCCACATCAGCCCTAAGAGTCACCTGCTAGGACTTCAGCGAGTAATTAAAGCCCGGCGGAGAGAGAACTTCAGAGTAGCAAGCTGTCAGCGGCAGATCTTTCACGTTGAGAGTCCTAAGGGCGTTTGGGGGTTTGCCTTTAGCAGCCTTGACCAGAAGCCACAAGCCTAGGACCGCTAGCTAGCGCAGACCCTAAGACCTTGAACTTAAACAAACCCAACACCTTAACGACTTTGTCCTAGACTTACAACACCTCGCACAAATCAGAAAGTGTTGTGTTTAGTGAGTGCAGAGATCCAGGCCACAAAGCTGTCTGGACATGCGCAATGTTTTGGTCAACGCTATTGTATTCCAGCATCACGGCCGGGGAGGCCGGCGTTTGTTGCCATGGTTCCATTTGTTGCCATGGTTCCCAGAGCTGGAGCTGGCTGCATTTCGTACTTTTGACGGGTATGAAGCCGGCCTTGTAGAAAAACTGCACACCAGACACTTACCTACCCCTTGAGCCAATGGAGGCAGGTGGGTACAACGTTACCACACGACGGCCACCATTGATGTTCACACCTTGGGGTCAGAGCTTCGGGCTCAGGGTGGTGCATTAGAGTTTAACATCTGTGGGATCAGTCACTTGAGATGAGGCTTCATGTTCTGCTGAGGATCTGCAAAGCGGGGCCGAGCAACCATCGTGAGAACAGACATGTGCGTTCAAGGGGTAATCCTTTTTGGGGCTTAGTCGCAGTCCAAGGGTCGCGGCGGTGGGGGGGAGGGCAAGGAGTTAAATTCTGAAATGTTACAAGAGCTTCTACGAGCAAGAAGATGATAGGGCCCATATTACCTGAACCACGAGGCGCTGACCCCATGCGAGTCCTCACACTAGGCTGTCCACATCATATACACCCAGATAGGAACCGAAATCCAGTAGTTCAGAATCTCAGGCGTCCAGGTTGTTGCGCAAGCGCCCAAACCTGGAACCCTTAGCAAGCAAGGTCACTTCCACCCTAAAAAGTATGTTGCAAAATGATTGATGCCAAGCTCTGCTAGGCTCTGTGTGCCGATCTTTCTGCCAGCATGGTGAAATTCATTCTACAGAACCTTCGACACTGGTCATGAGAATGGGTTCGAGAGGATTCGAATAATCAAGCAGAAGTTTGGCTCACGTTTTCAAAACTCATCCGAGCCACAGTTCTTGGAATCTCCGTCCATTCTCGGCAGGTCACCAAAGCATTCCAACAATATCAGGCACGCGGGCGATGAAAATGCCGTTCTGAGCTGTGGTGTGTCAACTGTGTCAGGTATTGTCAGGTTGTCAGCATGAAGCATGATCTTCGTGCCGGAGCTTGCCTTCCCAGTTACTCCAGAATTTGATCTCATAGTCCTGGCACTCAGTAGCACCGACCCAGCGAGCGCGATAGGGCCGGCATCAAGAGCCTCAGCTCTCTGAGCTTCTGCTCAGCGGGGCCAACACATTGAGCATCATGAGCGAGGGCCCAAAGCATGTCCTTATAATGAACATCAGCCTCCTAGCTCTTGCCCGACAGATTCTACAAGGCCAGCATTCTGAGCTTGATGCTTACCCTTTCGGGCCCTGGTGGGCAAAACTTCACTCGTCGCTATTGGATCCATGCTGGTGACAGAATCTGGGAGCTGATGCTCAGGCATGCCCCGAAATTGGTGGGAGGATGTATTCTACAGCCTCTTACCATCGCCCGATTGCAACATACCGTATTTGGATCTTGTAGAATATCTAGGTGTGAGTGTAATGTGGCGGCGGTTTTGCTTGTCACAGCTGAAGATGGTGCATGTAGAGTGCACATGTTTTGCTTTGGATCTTAACAGAAGAGGCGCCGCATTTTGGGGCATCGCTGCAGTACCGGTGCCGTGCTGTAGCCTTCTGGGGGTATGTAGCTGGATTCTCACAATTCGAAAAGTACGCGTAGGCTGCATGAAAACTCACAATAGCGGTCCTTCTGTGTATTGGTAAAAGCGCATGCACTTCACCTAATTCATCCTACCTGGTGCACCAAGCTTTCATGCTATACGTACTCACACGCCAGTCCCTACATCCTTTTGAGTACCTCGACTAAGTACCTAGACCAGGATGGAGGCAAGGGGCCCAGCAGGCATGTGACCACATATATCATGAGGCATGTAAACACCCTGCCTCTTTTTCTCCGCATGGATGGTTTTGCTGACGTGGGCTTGCAGGCTTGCAAGCGAAAGTCCATCTGGTCCGAACGGGAATGCGAACAAGCGCTTCGGAATGTCTTGCGCCGAGACCTGGCCGATTCCTGGGTCGTTGTCGAAGATTCTTACCAAGGCTGCATAGCAACCCTCTAATATTCTCAAAAACTGGCTTCTCAACCAAACTTTGAACAGGCATCCACGAGCCAGCGGGATTTGGCTAGCATGTTATCTTAAATCTTCTTGTAATATACTTTGGAACTACTATCCCGACTTGCTGGCTATCAATCAAAAAGATTGCCCAAATAGTGCTAGAGGACGACTATGCGCTTGCCACCCCCGGTAAAATTTTTCCACCCCGATCCGCATTGCAGCAACCAAGCTCCCATCTAGTCCACTGTTCGCAGAAGCCCTGCATGGGATTTGAATTCAAGGGTTGGTGACCGACCATTTGTCGAAATTTTCTTCCGCAGGGAATCATGTATGACTTTGGCTTACCCTGCCATGTGAAGGTGGAAGCAAATAGTGCGTCAACAGCCGAGATATGCTACGATTCTACATTTCAGGTTTTAGGACCAACAAGTTTTCAAATTTTGGAGTAGTTCTGGACTACTTACCAATGGCTGATTTGGGCTGGCATGCCAGTCTTTCAAGCCCTTACAAGGGCCCGCGTCAACAAAGGCGTACAAAAGAAAAGATGCAATGTGGGGTTTCCCCAAATTAGGGGAGACCTTGTTTGGGGGGTCCCTATCACGAGGATTATACCTTTTGGGGGTCTATATTGGGGTTCCCCCCCTAGTCAGGGAAACTGCCATATTCCTCTCGAGACTGCAATCTGGTGTAGTCCGTTAGAATCCTCAAACATGTGGTACTTTCCATTGCCACGTCCATTCCATCACTGGTTCCAGTAAGTATTGTTTGCAGATCGCGCGTGCTGTTTGTGCTGTGTCATCTTGAATGGGCATAAGAAGGCATCCGTGTATGACACGAAGAAGCTCGCAGTTGCACTGAATCGTAAGAAGAAGCTGAATGGCCCAGGTTCGGATCACAATGATCAACACTGTCCGAGAGGAACTTCGAGACCAGGCCATTTGTCCACAGCAGCTGAGTATTCGCGCTTGTAAGGCATCTTTCGCACTTTGTGTGCGTCACCCAATTCCAGCACAGCGGGAAAATCAAGATCAGTTTTTGATACAATGGCAAGGGAAACGCAGACATGAAACATGGGTCTTGGCCGACGGGGTTTGGATGAGTGTTGTTCGGCCCAAAAGGAGAGTTTCAAGTCTGCAGCCACCTAGCCAGCGCTTCACTCCGGCTTGTGTCGTCCTCCTTCCCTGTTGAGTGGCGGTTCCTCACCTCTACTTGAAACAGTTTATGCGGCTGTGGTAATCATAGCTTAACATCCAACCGACTACTCAAGACCACTGAGGGTCTGGCAGCTGGGGGTTCTATTTTGCCAATCAGGCAGCCACCGTACAAGTGAGGTTTTGATTTTGATGCCTCAAAGCCTAAAACCCTGTAGACAACATCTTGCCCAGGAAAGCCTAGACTGTCAAAATCTGAACTCGAGACGAGGTAGCAGTGGTTTCCTCCAGCTTGCAAAGCATGATGGTGCTTTCCGCCCCTGCCTTAGTGGAACGTACGGGCCATTGAGTAGCGCTTCTTCTTTCATTCTGTTTTTCCTACTGTAGTTTCATAGAAAAATTTATTGAAAAGAACATCTACCAACGGCTCCGGATCTCATAGGGAGGTTTTCGTGCGCAGGCACGCAAATCAGGGGAGAGAAATCCCCGTGAGAAGCTGAATGGTTAGTAGTACACGGGTTCTTTGGTAAGGGCTTCGATAGAGACCCCTGTCATTGACAAACTCCAAAGCTGTTGGGGCAATGTTCTCAGCAAATCTCAATCTCATTGCCGTTCCTGTGGTAGGCATGCTCGAATTCCAAAAAAAGCCTCCCCAATCTATTCCACCCCTGCATTACAAGTTTAGAAATGCTGGTTTTGAAAAATGCTTGAAGCCTGAAGCCCAGAAGTTGAATCGAACGAGACCGGCACGAAAATCCGCGGCCAAACCCCAAAACCTTGAATCCTCGTAACCCGGCACACCCTGCATAAACTGCACCACTTGACCTTCCAGCGCAACTCGAAATAAAGCTGGGCTGCCGTTAATCTGTTAAGCAACTTACACTAAGATACCATAATGGGTATATACTGTACATGATAGGGTTTCTCCAATATGGTGACTTAATCTAAGTTTCTTACTAGCAACCCGAAAAGCCAAGTCCCTGGTTCTCATCGTTGGCTTCGGCTCCGTTTGCGAGGGCACCTTCCCAGACCCTGAGGCTACCAAACCGTTCAGACATGACGTTAGGGATCCAACTAGCCCAATGTACAGTAGGTAATATTTACCGGTTCTAGGGCCCAATATAGGTGTTATTCGTATACTTGGATTCCTACGGTGAGAGTTTGGGATGTGGCCCCGGGTTGAGGTAACGGGGAGCGTACCTGCTTTGATGTACAGTGCCGGAGTTTGCCAGACACGTGGATGTGTGCTATAGCTGCATGTAGTTTAAAAACAATCAATTACAGCCGTACGCCGCACGCTTTGACGTTGGCTTGAAGCAGCCTGTCCCACCTGTGCCCTCTGGCTCAACGTAGTAGCAAGTGAACCGCAACTGCTGCACGGTATCCCTGGAGCTCCTTGTAAATCCTACTTCCTGACCTCGATCATCATGCAGCAGCCAGGACTGCTGCGGGGCTGTGTTGAATCTGCGGTTCCTGACATTGGTTTCTTTTTCAGTCATCTCTGTGCAGGACAACAGGCAACCGAACTCGCCATGCAGAACTCCGTCAGCGCTGTAGTTGCGCGCATCCGTGCCCGCAGCTGCGGCACGCCAATGCCCTTCGCCTCGCAAGTGCCCGTCCAGAACTCCGAGTCCGGTCGAGGAGACTGCACACAAAGACGTGTAGATCAGCATGTTAACACTTCTTAAGTAATAAGCCCACTGACTGTTTTGCAACGCATTGTTGAGGATACACGCTTGGTCGTGAGTATCCCTGCATGGGCAACGGTTCCGCGCTGACCAGCATCTTGGCACCCGTGGGTGTGAGCTTGACTTTCTGCGTCATAGTGGGCAAGTCCCTGCACATGTTCGGCAAATGAGCCTGATGCTCCAGCATGATGTCCGTGGGGACCCGGCAACAATCCCGGCAACCATGCGTCGTCGTGCCTTTGAAATTTCCAGTCCAGCTAAGATGTACAGCGCTCTACCTGGGCGACGCACCCTATAATTCATGGCTTCATAGCTTCATACAGAGCTGTGAGCGCAACATGAGCAACATGCAATTCTGCGGTGCCCCCTGTTTGCCACCCACGTTGGCAACAGGTTGGGGTGCGCAGCAGCAGGCCCCGCCCTAGGGTAGGGGCGTGCCTCACCACCAGACCATACAGGTCCAACAACAGCAGAAACAAAAAGCCTTTCAGTTTGCCGTTTGCAGAGTCTCCCTAGTTGAATGGAATACCATGCTGTTTGCTAGCTGCTAGCGTGCTTGAGGTTTCAAGCTATCATAAGTTCTACGTGCATTCACGCAAGAGAGGAGCATATGGGATGATCATACCTTGTTTCTTGATCATTGCTGTGGGATTGTTTGTTCGAAGAGTTCGTTTGACTTTCTGGTGAGTTGGAAGTCCCAGCTGCCAAACATAACTGACCAGTAAACTCTCTCGCCGGAGGTGCATGCAAGTGATTATCCAGGCCTGCAGGATGTCTTCCTGGAGGCCTCTGACGAGGGTTCGGGGGATTACGGGGTTCCTGTTCCAAGCTATAGTTGCGGGAAAGACTGCATGTTGAATACATCGTGGGAGCCCCCCCCCGCCTCAATTTATTGAGGTTCTTCACGGGCGCCTAGAACTTCCATGCAGAGAGGGCAATTGAATTAGGCCTTCGCGGCGATACAAAGAACACTCAGCCCTCATGGTCCAGGAAGTGCTTGTCGGTGATGTCGGTGGCTTGTGTTGGTTTCTGTTCAAGCTTGAGTGTGTCATTGATGGGATGCCCTGAAAAATGCGGAAAAGCCATCAGGTCGTTTTGTTCAGCATAGCGCGCCCGAGTGTTGTTTGTTCTTCCGTGAGCTTTTTGGGTCTGGATAGTCTCAGTAGTAGTATGGCACTTCAGGTCATATTCAAGCAGGTCGGGGAAACTGGATGCAATTCCAAAACTTCAAGAGTCCAAGAGGAGCAGGCCCTGCATCCTCTTGCTTTGTTTGGCGGTTTGACCTGTAATTGGCAAGCCCTTTGCCACCGCGAACCCCAGCACACTAAACCCAAGCAAGTATGACCCGAAAGCTCAAAACTTCTCCGAAGTCCTGAGATCTGAGGAAGTGAGCTAGACCTTCAACCTTGAGTCCTCAAATCCGAAACCTTGCTAAGCCACGTAAAATTCCAAGCCTCCCAGCAAGCATAGTGAGTAGAATGCTACTTGCAGAGAGTGCACCTGCAGTCTGCAAATGCAGATGTTTCTCTGAATCAGAGTCCATTTGCCCCTCCAATATTATTAGGTGCATGGGAAAAGCCCGGCGCACAAAAGCGCAATCAAATCTTTTTGTTTTTGACACACACACACCCACCTTGTTCACACCCCATTTTCCTATACGATCCCCACAGAGAACCCGAATGACCATAAACGAAAACCATTACTGCTTGGAAATCCCAGTGAGCAACACCTTATCAGCTCTGTAAAGTGTAAAGCATCCTAAACATCCCTGAACCTTGCAAAGCCGTTTAGCAAGACTTCACATTGAGTATATCCCCCTGAGTAGATGTACTCCCAAAGCTTGGATTTCTCTGCATCCCTTCTGCTCTCGGTCTACGTCACGAGGACTACAGCAACCTCGGTACTGTCTTCTAGATATTTCAGGATCAATCGGATGCTCTAAAGCTTGTAATCTTGACATCAGGGTGGCGTTCCATCTACTTCAAGAAGACTGCAGGCTAAAATAGACCGATGTAGACCCTTCCTGTGCCTTTAGCCCGAAAGCGCTTGCCTTTCCAAGTTTGACTGGCATCCCAATTTCAGAAACCGCCACCATTCCATCATCACTTAAGTACTCCAAATAGACTGCCTGCAGCTCCCTGATGATGAGCCGAAGGATTTGTGAACACAGCAGCCCAGCTCCATCTATCGGAGCCACCAAAAACCCCCAAACCTTCAAACTCTGAACCCTTGACCCATGCACCGGAACCACCGGCCCAGCTTTACGCGCTCTTTGCGGGCTTGACCTTGGTCCTGCCCCTGGGCTCCCTGCTTTGCACATTCGCGATTTCGCGGGAGGCCGCAAACTGTTCAGGAGTTGGGGCTCAGGCATGCGCAGGATGGAGAGGGCTTTGAGGTTGAGGAGTTTGATTCGCGGCTTCAGCTTTGAAGTCGACGGCACTTCTAGATTCAAGGTCTTAGGGTTGGGTATTGTTGTGTTCCTCTTGAACACAGCCACTTAGAGCGACCCACCTCTCAAGCTTCTATTCTACTTGCAGAGGGATAATTAGTATGGGGAACATGTAGCAGTGAATTATACAGTGGCAATGTGATGAGGGAGCATGCCTGTATCTTGCAAGGTATGGGCGGCCACAGAGTTCACACTTCACAGAGATGATTCCCGTGCTCGGGTGGTTGCGGCTTTGCCGAGATCTTTGAACAAGCAGCCCCATATGATGGCATATAATGGCCCATATGTAAGGCAATTTCAACTCCGGGTGGCACCTCTGCGCACAGGCATACTCTTGACGCATAACTTCAGCCTTTACTGATTGTCCCCAAACACTGCGGCTCCCTCAGAAATCTTGCCCAAGGCCCTCCATAAGCCCTAAACCCTGGACCTGCCCACTCGGCCCAACTTGGTCTGCTACCCCGAGTGCCCCGCCTCAGCCCCCCACCATGATGATTGCATCGCTTGGTTGCAGGCAGTAAGGTCTGTACAGAAGGCCCCACACCAACGATACAAGTCCAGAAATCCTCTCTAAGGAACAACCGACCCTCAGCCCCAAACCCATATACTGCCCACATGCAAACCCCCGGGCCACAAACTTTGTGCAGTTGGAGTTTTTCCTCGCAGCCTGTGGGGCAGATCTTCAACGGCATGTGAGGAGGCGAGAATGCGATGATGATTCCTTGTCAGTGTCATCTTCAAACCACCTAAATAGGGGCCAGACATCGGATTAATTACAAGCAACATGTTGGCGTTTATTCTGGTGAACCGGTACGCCCACACGATCCCGACAGTAGAGACCCCCGAGGTTGCAGCATAGGACAAGGTGACAATGTAGAAATTCGGAGAAGCATCCCGGCTGTTTGAGTAGTAACCTGAAACGATGCCATCTGGAGCTTGGGAGGGCCTTGAGACGTACCTGGCCGGACCACACCGATCCAGCGATGTCGCCCAGCAGGAGATAAGAATTTCTCAGAGATGAGCTCTATCCCGGAAACCCTATAAATACATAGGTTGCTAGTCTCTTGAGGGAGCTGTACCAAGTTATAACGATAAGACAAAGCGTAAGGTTTGAGCAGAAGGTGTTGGCCTTGTTCCTGACTTGCATTCTTGCTATGAAGTAATCGTTTGCGTTTCAGACAAGAGGTTCCGGGGCCAGCATGTTGATGTTCTTTGCGTCTCAGGCTTTGGGCTGGAGCTACATCCCGCTTTCGTATAGGTTCCAATGGAAGCCCCTGACCTCTGTTCTACGTTGTATAGGGTAACTATGATGGTCATCCTCATTACCTATGGTTTGCTCATCGCGGGCCTGCATCACACAGAGTCAGGTCTGAAGTGGGAGGTTGAGGGGCGGGAATAACACATGGCCACAGGGACGTTGTCCTTCACTTTTGCCTCCCGCTGAGGTATCTCATCTTGCTGCATGTAATGAGGTTTTTGTTGCAACGCGGGTTGATGGCAACACATGCGTTTTATGTCTCCAGGGCAGGTTCCCCATGTTACATATAGACATGTATACATACACAAATATGTACACATACGTATATGTATATCTGTATATATGTATATGCATATGAATATGCATATGTGTGTTTATGTGCAAGATGATCTAATCCTCATCATAGATCCCGAACCTGGACCCATCATGCTGAGAAAGTCGCACTACTAGCTTCTCATGGACCCTTCGGTCAATGTTTAAACGTGAGCCCTGAGTTGTGAAAGGCGCATTTTTTCGGGCCTCCAGACTGAGAGGGCGCCTAGGCCTTGATGTAGGGCTTTAAGTATAGCTTCTGTTGCCTGGGTCAGCATGCGTATGTGTACGTTTACCTGGCGGACCACAGATAAGAGACCTTATAATTGTCTTGTAAGACCTTATGTGCGCCTTGCCAATTTTGACTTGAAGCATGGTAAAACTGCCAAAACATCCAAGAAATCATAACCACCTGGGCTGGCCTCTGCTAGGATCCGCGGTGACATTTCCCCGGACCTCAACAAGCATCAGGAACGCAAACGGCTGCAGAGAGAGATGCGAGGCCGGAAGTGCTCGCCTTCCTAGCAGGAAGGGGTGCAGCAGCCGGAGCTACAACCTAAACTAAGCACTCCGACCCGAGTTCACGACATCTTTGGCATAGGGATGCTGTGAGTTTTGTGCTCTTCGTAGCACACCTAAGACCAAGCGAGAAATTAGTATTCGGCTGAATGCAAATGCTTCTTTGCCACTTTTGCAGCCGCCTTTCTTGGCAATTAATATTGAAGCCGTGTCTGGTCGGATATTGCATTGCAGGGCTGTTTGCGGAATGTCAGTTTTTCCCCAGCAGCGGTTGGTGTTGCTGCAGGGGGAGAGAAGGAGTCACCTCGCACCAGCCCCAAGTCTTAGCAATAAGGCAACCTTACCCTTTGCGAATATCAATAAGCCAGGCAAGCAGATCTGAAGGCATTGCCAGACTAATCGCTGCTGGTGCAACCCTGCGCCGCTATGACAAAGAATAAAGGGTCGATAAACAGCGCCGTGACTCAATGCGAGGGCTCAGCGGGCAGCATGACGATGACGCCCTGCGCGCCGTCTTGGAAGACACAAGGCTTCGCATGCTGGAGCCTGTCATTGATGCGGAGCCCGTTTTCTGCCTAATGGTATGGTCCTCGTCCTCCATTTCCAAAATCCCGTGAAGCATTGCATGGCACTTGGATTTGCGCTTCGCAGCTGTGGATGTCACAAACGTACAGGGCTTGGTTCATGTCTTCGCAGGAGGGCTCATTGGACGCTTGTGCATCCGTAGAAAAGGTGCCTGTCCACATGTTCAGATCCCAAAAGGGTCCAGAATGCTGAGAGCCTTGCATGCATAGACTAAAGGCTTTTAGCTTCTTTTTTCCCGAAAGGCAGAGCGGACATCAAAGCTACCAAAGTTCCTCAGATCACCCCTTCTTGAGAGCAACCAAAATCAGCCCTGCTGCATGGTTTCGGCTTTTAGCCATCTTGGCTCTAGCCAGAAGAAACGAAGCCGGCCGGGCCCCCACAGAGCCCGCCGATAGAACAAAGGCCCGAGTTTTCAGGTGTTGGGTTGTGCAGTGCAGGACTGGAGAATATACAGCTTCCTCTGGATCCCTGAAATTGTTTCCATCATAGTTGCTACAGTATGTATATGGGTATAACGCTAGTCAGAGGTCTACAGATTTTGAGAAGAGGTGATTTGCAGAGAGCTATCGAGTGACCGGGTGCAGGGAGTCCGGGGTTCGGATTGCCGCATTGGCGGATTTGCGGTCCTCCTACGTCAACCCAAAAAGGAAGTTGACCCCTTCTATAAGTAACCCTCAACCAGGACCCCTAAATTGGCTTCATGCAAGATTTTCAACTGTTTGTCTGTATGGTGACTGTAGCACTCTACATATACATAGGGTTCAGCCTTCAGAGTTTCCTTTGCCGATGCTCAGGCCTTGGAGTAATTATCACGGATTTGGGAGGCGACCCTTTCTACGTTTTTCTTGGTCTTCTCCTCTAGAGGAAACTGCAACCAGTCTTGGGCAAGTGGCGGTGGTTCTGAATCTCTATAGATTGTGGTAACATTCACTGTTTCTGCGCCCGCTGTCGAATGTTGTTTGCGCTTGGACGCTCAACAGACATAGCAGCTGTCCAGCAGTATACTGCCGGTGCGTTGCAGTGTATGCTGGTGCCCCGACTCGCTGCGCATTTTGAGTTTTCAGAAGGCAGTGCGCATTACTTCACCATAGTTCATGGCGGACATCTAGCAGCCGGATTGGATAGCTGTCGGATAGCTCACGGTCTGCCCCTAAACCGGTCATTCTTCCACAGCGTAATAGATCAACGCTAGGGCAGCAGACTGCCCGCCACTGAGGGCGGCAGGCCAAGATCTCTTTGTCATTGCAGATACGAGCTTTTTTTGCAAGACTTCCTGATCAGCATCGGTGCGGTGTGTTTAGGGTTAAGGAATCAGAATGTAGGGGTTTGTGTTTAACTTGCAGGCGACCCGGCGCATCCAAGCAACCATGGACACACTCTGCTGGGGATTACAACAAGTTCTGTAGGCCACTAGATCTCAGTCATCTAATGTAGGAAAGACGACCCGTTGCTTAAATCGGTATCTTCCAACATTCCCATACTGCTACCACAGGACCTTCACATTGAGGGTTTATAGGGCGTAAGGGCCATCGTGTTGTTGGACAGATATGTTATGCCGCGCCTATATGTAGACCCGCCGCCTTGAAGCTACCAATGAGTAACCGGCTTCCAGCCTGAACCCTTAACTCTGCGGCCTAGCCCCTAAGACCTAAGCCTTGAAGCTAGCAACATCATTCTAAAGAATGAACCCTCAAGCTTGAGCTGGGCCTCCAGTTCAAAGGAGCATCATGGCGGATGACATTGAGAAGCAGCCATTGCTGGCCGAGGCCAATTGGGCAAATCTAACACGGGTGGTTCTGAAAAGGTTTGGGGTTGAAGGTTTAGGGCTCAGCGCTAAGCCGCTGTTTCGATCAGTCTTTACTACAACTTCATCGCTTTGTTTTTTTTGGGGTTCCTCTATTTCATATTCGGGGACTCTTATTGGAGGATTAAGGAGCAAGCAACTTGTTCAACAGCAGTCAAAGCTGCTTCCAAATCTGTGTACTGTACGTCAGGCAGCAGGTGTATCGGGGACTATACCGCTTTTTAGACTTCATGTTGGGGCGGTAGAGTAGAGTCAAATGATGTTTTTTTGGCTTGTGATTTAGGCTTGGATTTGGAGACATGAGAGCTCGCGGACTGCTTTTTCCAGTTCGGGGCCTTTCGTGGGCTTCAGGAGGATGACGCCAGATAGTTTCCCAACCTTGTGATGGAACAGAAAAAGCAACGGCTTCGAGCACCCGAGGTTTCAAAGCCAAAGTTTCAGTCGCAATGCCTTCCCTTAAGCCTTCCGTATCCTTTTGTTCTGTACGCCCCTTCTCCCAGACAAAAAAGTTCCAACCCAAACAGCATGCGCAGGAGAAGCGCGCGGAAGAAGTCGAGGTGCAAGAGGCGCTTCAGTACAATGATCCCGGGGTCCCTCCACATGCACAACTCACAAGAGCCCTGGATGCCCTGTAAAGCTCGCGCACCAAACGTCGTGACATTCCAACATGAAATGTTTGAACTTCAAGCCCAGCACGGCATGCAAGCAGCCTACTGGACAAAACTGCAAATCATTTGCAGCGTAAGGTCTATAGAGTCTAAATCATGCGGTCTAGATCTTATCCTCATCGGAGCCGTCCAGCTACACCATGCTCGAAGCTGTAGGCTACGGGTTGGCGCAATTTGCTCTTGTTGGTTTTTAGGGCCTGTTTCAAAGGGATCTTACAAACGCCAAAGCGCGGGTAAGTTGCGGCTGTTCAGTGCTGTTTGTTTAGGGCTTCGGGTTGGGAACAGCCTGTCCTGAAAAGCGAGAAGAAAACAGGGCCACGGCTGTCGTTCCCCCTCATGGACTTACCTTCAGCACGCGACGCTCCCTATAAGGAGGGCATCTGGAAATACTCTAAAAGTGCTATTTAAGTTAATTAGAATATATTGAGCACCCAACCTTCTTCGTATGATCGCCTCGAAAGCTCATGGAAGTCCGCCTGAAGCCTTTGTCACAGGAGGTGGACGATTCGATGTCATACGACGCGAGGATGCTTGACGAAACAAGAGCCTCATTTATGCGCTGCTTCAAGCCTGGCGGGGTTCTTGGCAGCTGACATGTTATTGTATCAGACACAGCGGGGCTAGCTCGCATGGCAATCTTGTCTTGAAGGCAATGGACATGTGTGGCAGACAGTGCAAACAGACAGTGGTAAAGGCCCGCCGAGTTTCTACAACCAGAGGCATGTGTGGCGACAAGATGTTGCTGCAAGCATCTATGGCCCCTCTTTTTTGGGCGTACGCTTCATAATGCAGCATCTAGCATTTCGGTTCTAAGGAATGGGGGGCTATTAGTGCTGATTCGGAGACTACTTGCGATGATGAATTGCGGTCCTGAACGGTTGAGCCGTAGATGTAGAGCAAAGACAAGATCCATCCTGCAAGAAGCGAAGGGCAAGGACTACGTGATAACACAATCAAGATGGGCACTTGTTGACGTGAAAATTGAAGACCTTCCCATGGACCATAAGAATCATTGAGTCCTTGCCATAGCAAACATAGAGAAGCCGTGTCAGCAGGGCTTAGCGCAGGTGGCAGGTTACAGTAAGGCCCTAAGGTGTAGGGTTTTTGGTTTGGGGTCTAGGGGTTAGGATTAATGGCGTTTGTGATTCATGTGGGGCTGTGCCTTAACGGTCAAGGGTTGGGGACTACAGTGTTGGGCTTTTAGGGTGTAGGAGTTAGGACTTTAGAGGTGAGAGTTTTTTGGTGCATTAGCTGCTGGAAGCCTTTTGCGCTGACATTGGCTTCGTGACTGCCAAGCAACAAGTGCCCTGGGCGCTGCCACGTTAGCTCAATTCGGCAAGCATGTCAGCTATCTGTATGAACAGGAACAAAGAGCAATCAAAGACATTAGGTCCTTATGCTGCCTTACGAAACTAGTGCTGCTTTTCTGAGCTTACCCACCCTGATTCCGACCCAGGTAAACATGAGCTTAAAACTTGGAGATGCAAGGCAACACTAGTACTCTGCCCTGAGGCCTTGTGGTTTGGATTTACTTGGGCAGTCAGGCCATGGGCAAATCAAAGAGACAAACGGCAACCAGTCAGCCATCAAGTTCCATATGCCGAACCAAAGTCTTCAGGAAGCGCTCTAAATTTCTGGGTGCTTAGTATAGTAGGGCATAAGGAAAGATAATCCCTACATATCCCTACATAGTATATCCCAGGAACATCCACAGCCTCTCTGCAAGCCTCAACAGCTCTGCTGGGTTTGAAATTACATCTGCTACATGCTGACAGACATTTATTGTTTGGTGAGCCTCCGATTTTGCTGACCCTTGGGCCTTGCAGTAGTCGCCCCTGCACTGCAAGGTCAATGGCTTTGGGTCTTGGCAAGAATGAATGTTTAACATCAGGAAAGCCGGGTTGTTAGATGTCGATGGGAAGTGCTTAAACTAGACAACCAAAAACCCCCAACAGAACCTAAACCGCCGACTGCCAACTCCTAAGACCGAGAAGTACGAATGGTTTTCTCAACCTTCGCAAAGGAAACTCATCACGTTTGACGTCTTGCGCGCAGCATCGGGCACGATCTGGGTCAAGGCCCTCTTCTCGAACAGTTCCTCTACATGCACACCTGGGCTTTCGGGGCAAGGTTGCAAGGTTTAAGATCCAGGCCTCATGGCTCTCTCTGCCGTTGCTAGAAAGTGCAGAGTACTTCTTGAACCAACACAGATTAGCCTGGGGACTGCTCTCGAGTAAGCTCAATCCCGTTTTACATTAGAGATCGCAGCCGTAAGGGTTCACAGGAAATTGTTGTGCTTGATCCATGGCATTGATACTTGGTGGGATTTCGAGAATGTTTAAGGGAGCGCTCGCAAACTTGGAATCCTCTTATTTGGTATGTAGCATTTGAGGCCCATCATTTTCGAAGAGCCTACATGGCCATGATTCTTTTACATCGCAAATTTCAGACATCTCCATACCCATTGCCATC